TTTCCATGATCACTTCACATTTTTTAGGTAAAAAAGAAAGATGCACAATCATTTCGGCATGGTTGCGCGATCACTTGCGCAAGTACGCCGCTAGCCCAAGGAACTTACGAAGGTCCTTGACATCGCCTGGCTAGGGCCTGTCGGTGATCGCCTTGACCTTTCGAAATGAGGGCTTACGCCGTGTTTACCCACGATGCACCCAAGAAGTGGTATATTGCTAGCTGCAAATATACACTTCTTAAGGTTGGAGCACGACTTATGATCCGCATAAGTTGAAGAACCTGACGAACGTGTGTTATTTAAACTTCCAGGTCCGTCTTTTTTGTCCATAGCCCGGATATGAACAAACCCATCGTCGAAGTAACTCAGTGCGAATTGGCGCACCAATCTCAACAGATTTGTACACAGCTGATGAAGGTTGCAGGGTCATTGCTTGACCCCTGTGGTATCATTAGTCACTCCCACAGCATACCGCTGGGGGTGCTCAATGCCGTGTACGGGATGTCCCTTTCACGCATGAGGATCGGGTAGAAGACATCCATCATATCCATGGACAAGAAGATGGTAATATTAGACATACCATGTATGATTATGTTCTTCCTCGGTATCGGCGATTGAGATGGTACCGTTGCAGCAATTAAGTTGTTGAATGTGTGCACTATCCGCCATCCTCCTGTGGATTTTCTCAAACAGAAGGTCGGAGAGCTGTGAAGTGAAGTTGATTCCCTGACATGACCCGCTTCAAATCGATCAGCAAAGAGCTTGTCGATAGCTAGTATTTGTTCACAAGGCAGTGGACACTGCATCATGACACAGCACTTCAAGCCCGTATTGAGCTTGATTTTATATCGAGTGCCTTTGTCCTTCGACAACTTCCATGGTTCGGATTTGCTAAATACATCCTTAAATTCGATCAAATCCGTATACAAAGGATTTGCCTGAAGAGACTCCCAGGATTGAGACGTGTATCGTTCAATCATAGTCTTCTCATCGAGGACACTTTCGTCCATCGATGAGCTGCTGAGAACCCGTTCATTCTCAGCAAACACTGTTGCCGACCGTATATCGGCCACATACTCATCCTCTGTGCCGAGTATGCAGATCTGCTTGACCTTGTCACTACGCAGATCTCGTAAGAACCGTTTCGGTTCTAGCGTTGGCAATTGAGTTATCTCGGAAGTTAACTTCGGAGGCACATTCACATCAAGCGCATACGCGCCTACGCTTGATCCGTCATTTACCAAGACGTTCAACGTCTCGATTTCTTACTGGGAACTTGTTTCCACATGTTGCTGAGGGTCTAATCCCTCAGCATGACCCAGTTGATGAATTCCTATCTCAAGCACGTAGGGACTTATTCCCTCGACATCTTCTGACTGTGGCTGTGCAACCACAGTCAGGGACTGATACTCTACGGTCGGCTCTCCTGTCGACCTAGGATTACCGTGTTGCCCTTTGGTGGCAACATGTTTCTTCTTTCTAGGTTGTTGCCCGCTAGGCATACATCCATGTCTCGGTCCACTCGACTTATTCGAGTGGTAACCCTTCGGAGCTGCCTGTACTTCTGCACAGCTGCCGGAAGCTTGCTCCACAGTGTAGTGATGATCTACAATGAGGTCTTGTGGTGTCGTGCTAACGACCTTACCGCAAGTGAGGCCATCGCACTCACTCGCAGTACATCCACGAGCTTGAGGACGTTCCACGACGTTCATCAGATGGTCATCTGATGAGCAATTGTCAGGCATATTTACGAATCGATGCTGCCAGCTCACCCTTGTCTCGTACCTTCTCAGCCAAGGTAATCTTAGGAGACATCGAATCTGTCATCCATATCCAGTACGATGAAATCATCATCGCACTATCCGCCCTCTAACGTGTAGTGGATTCCCACTACACGTGTTGCAACGGTCATCTATGCGCCTGTGGCGAGGCGCACTGTCATCCTCGTTGAAGGGATGTCGTGCTCAACGAACTTGAGCCTACGACCCTCTAGTGACTGGCGACGTACAAATTTGTTCGACGCCCCACAGTCAACTAGGGCGCGAAGTGACAAATCTTTTGTCACTTGCAACTATAAGGTGATGAGTGATATATCATCACCAGATGCAGAGACACACAACGAATATGTATTCTAGATCAACTTCCGTCAAGAGATTCAAAAAATCACCTAAGATTGCTGAATCAGTGACCGTTCCACCCCTACTGATCCTGACAGTTTCATACGGCCCGCCTCGCAGTTGCGATTTCGTAACAGCGTCATACCTACCTTTGCTGCCCTTCTTGGTAGACGGTCGATCGTTTTCCTCAATTTCGCGAGACACTGCGCTACACTTGTAGTATTAGTGCCCTAGCTTCGGACAGCGAGAGCACCTCTGAAATCGATTGTTGTTCGAAGAGCGAGGTTTCTCGATCTCAATGTATCTAGGGTTCATTGGTTCTGGACCATCAACCTCGTGTCGCTAGGTGAACGATAGGATTTTGAAGCAGCATGAGCCTGGGTATCAAGCTAAATACCTTCTGTTTCGCAGCTGATATTGTTTGTCCAATCGTCTCCAGCTCCGAGAGGAACAGGTGTTTCCTAACGGGACCCTTTGGGAGGCCCCGCATGAGCACAGTAACCAACGTGTATTCATGGACCGGGTTGGCCGTTACACTACTAGCGAGGAATCGTATATATTGAGCAAGGTCGTGGACATCACGCTTACCCTGCTTGATCTTCAGGAACTCTGATTAAGCCCTAAATTCAGCCCGTGGCAGCTCAAACGTTTTTTTTTGTCTGAGCCGGATCTTAACGGTCTCTAACGTCTCAAAAACATATGGGTCGCTCACCACGAGCCCATGGATCCAAGTTTTGGCACGTCCCGTAACGTGAATTAAAGCAAATGTGAGTTTTAGTTCCTTATCGTTCATGCGGCGTGCATTTATGGATTTGTATCATTCGACAAACCATCTTAACAGAGAGTCTTGCTAGGTTCCTCTGATTTTGACGTTTCAACCGTTAAGGAGAACAGCAGATGAGCCTGCTGTTGTCTCAACAGCTCTCCCTGTTGAGAACCTTACTGGCGATACAAGGTTACCTTTTCTAGCGCCGCGTCAAGTTTATGTTGAATGAAATTAGCAACGGCGGAATGCTGTTGATCCCTGTATAGTGTAGACAGCATGTTCGAAACAGCATTCTCACTCACGGTTGAACTAATCTGCTCGACCGCACTCCACTAGAGGTCGCTCCAAGAGTAGTAGCTTTCACGTTACGTGTGAAAGCTGTCACCAGCATCGTTTTACAGGTTCATGTTGAGCAGGAAGTTGCGGTCCTTGGAAGGACTACAAAGCGATACTAGGTTTAACCGGTCACAGGTAGATACGCACTGGCAACCGTGCGTATCAAAGCGCTCACTGACTTCATTGAGAACTATGCCCTTGTTAGCTAGCGCACACTATACGCGTCAGGGCTAAGGCTTAGATCAAAACGTTTGAACTTCGTAAGAGAAAAGAAAACTATATCAGTATAATCAAGTTCTAAAAACGTGTCTTGTCTTATTAGTCCTAGCATAACTATATTACTACTATAGCATATATGGTGACGTCTACTCGCCACCCATTGCGCGCGTCTAGTAGCGATTGGTGGGTTGATATAATGCCCCATATCAACCAATGAGTATACCCTTAGGTCACTGCATCAATAGCACTAAACTTAGTGATATTGTAGTGATAATATTAGACGTAATATTCTCTAATAGCATATTGTCGCAAATGATAATATTATGTAACAAACTCACCCCGTTACATAATCGCTCTAGGTGGCTGACACGTGTCAGCTTCGACATTAGGTACTTTATACTGCACCAATTATGTTTCCGGCCCATCACAGGTTACAAGTACTAGCTCACTTACATAGGCCGATCACTTACGTAGCCTGTTCACTGTGATTGTACTACCCAACCGTTCTACAATAACATGTATTCTCTATCATCAACGCAGAAAGCATACAGCATGGTCAATCCTATTAAAAAAGTTCCGGTGTAATTGCTGTTGACGTTTTAGAAAAAGATGTAAGAAAAGAAAGACGACGAAAAAATAAGGTGCGGTATATTACATGAAGCTGCCTGATAAGAAGGCAACAGCTTGTGATCTCACTCTGCCGCCGGACGAGGAGGTGCTGTTGTGCCGGAGGTGAGGAAGGCTATGCTAAATCAAGCGTCGAATATCTGTTCGTCTGCGCTATCATGTGAGTCAATCATGTGCGCACGCGCGAGTGTACAACACACGACTCTGAGCGGTCGGCCGCAATTTGTGACTGATTAAAGAGTAGCACGAACATGCATGTAAATGACCATCACAGAAGCAATGGCTCCATCGGACCTCGCATGACGTGTAGTATAAACCACGCGCGAGCACACATACGTGGACAAAAGTCGATACACGCACAGAGAGAAATTAGATGTGGAGAAGGTCAGCTGTCACAGCACGTAAATGCTTTCATTACTTTGCCCTTAAGCCCGCAATCAAAAGCATGATGTTGCTTTATCGATCTTCAACAACGGGGTCATGTTGCGTCATTCGACTTTTTGACAAGGATGGAACGAGCGCTCACTGGGAAGAAAGGAAAGTGGCGACGACAACTGGAAGTCGAGCAGATGACGCGTCGCCTGGCTCGCCAGTGCCAGGTGTATGTACACTGTGCTGTGCATGTTCAAGACGATGGCAAGCAAGTGTATTACGCAAGCTTTATTTTTGTAAGCTACCAGACTAGGTTATCTCCGGTCGCAACTGAGCGGCAAGACATCAGTCAAGGCGTGTAGCTGCCAAAATTTCATTGAACACGCCGCGTAACTAATTCCAGCCCTTATCAGGCGTGCCACCAAAAGGCGCTCCATGCAGCTGCCATTCCCGAAAGACTTGCGCCAAAGCGTACACGGGTGTGGCCTACTGTCCTTCAGCATGTTGCCACATTTGAACACGTGCTGCAGCAGATTCCAACTCACTGGCGTCTCGTACGAGCCTTAGCTCCATTTCAAGAGGGGTTGTGTCCGTTTGTTTGCGTATTTGTGCCGGAAGACGTGCTTATGCAACAGTGGTTGGAGCTCTGTGTCATACGGCTTTCCCTTGTACTTGTGTAGCATCAGCCGTTGGAAACTATCACTGGGAGCTACACCGGCCTCGGAATACCGTTCCAGCATCATGTTCAATAGCTCAAGAGCTCGCGATTTGTCGGCTGAATATTTAAGTACATAGTGCAACCCAAGTATGAAGCCGGTCTTCCCTTCGTGCAATTCCATTATGGCCTTCAGGTACGCCGCATCACCCTTTCCCTTTCCCTTGAACTCAAAACGACAAAACCTCAAAACCACGTAGTGGCACAGACTGTCATAGTCTGTAAATCCAATGATGGAACGCTGCGGCTTCGTGAGTTTCTTGAGGAGTCGATTGATTGACATTCCTTGGCGATGCCACTCGGCCATCAAAGAGCCCAATAAAAACTCTCCCTCGACTCTCATATTTGGTATGTCGGATTTTATCAGCAGGGCGATCGTTACTGGCCAACGATTATCCGAGCGCGTACGTAACAAGTCATTGCGCAGCGCCTTGTTACCCTGCACGAGATAACTTATCAGTTTCTTGAACTCTGGACTGTCTGCCGCGGTTGTGTCTTCACCCAGCACTGGGTGCATATTCTTGAGCGCTTCGAGAGCTATAAAAAGTTTGTGTTCTTTAAAAGGGCCGAGCAGTGCGTTTATCCCCCACGCGACAGATTTAACCAGCCGCTTCATCTCGAACGCTTTCTCCTCTTCGGTGCTGGGATCGTTGATGTTGAGCACCTTGTCGGGAGTAATACCGTCTTGGCCAGTGGATGTTTTGTGGATGACATCAGAGCCATAGAGACCCCTGGTCTCATGACTAGCAGCCTTTACGGTGCCGTCAGCACGTATCCGGAGCGCAGATGAAGCCATGAGTGCGAAAGAAAAGACACGCATCGCAAGAGGGGACTTGGACTGGAGCGATACAAAACCGAAATGACAGATGGTCGAAGCCACGAGATCGACTGGTTCGTTCGGGGCATCCGCCGTAGGAGAGCTGTGGCAAGGAGAATCAAGCTCGACACGGTGTATAAAACACTAATTCGTACTGCTCGCTGGTTAAGAGACAGAACTTTGCTCAAGATACCTTGACATGACACGCTGCAATGAGCGCTTTTAGCCCGTGGCGTCCATCCATTCATCCTCACTCTTTCGCACAGCTGCGCCGATAAGCTTTTCCCGAAAAGGAGATTCATTTGCATTGTTGAGAGTCCAGCGCCTGTCGCGTTCGGAACCGCCTTGCACATAAAAGGCCGATAGGTCTCATGTGCCGGCCATGGATGTTGATACGCCGTAGGATGAATGGAGGAGGGGTTGGCCTGCAAAGGCCTGGGCGAATACAAGCGTACCGTGCAGTCGCACGCAACGACGGGGTCATGAGAGAGAACCTGAACGTCGATTAAGCGCTCAGAACGATACTGTATCGGTGTGCTTTTTCTTTAGACTACTTCATTCTCCTCCTTGATCACTCTGTCTGCTGGCTCGAGACGGCGGGCGTCATGGGGTACACTCCGCATAGGGCACGTGGAATCGGGTGTCCTGACCAGGGTACAGACAGGGCGCTGAAGTCGCGGAACACACATTCTTCTTTTCGATCACCCCGATGGACCGCGGACGCACCTGGACAGGTCCGATCAAATCGCGTTTTAGGCAAGTTCGCTTCGTGGGATCGGGAATCACGCTCGGCGACCGGGCTGGCGACCTGAAGGCAGACGTAGAGTAGCAGGAATTTGGTTGGGGTGGCAACTGCTGTTTTGCCGTGTCGCTCACGCTGGGGTGTCTTGATTGTTGATCCACTTTCCGTTTGCACGCTGCGCTGCCTCCCGTAGCGAACACAGCGGAAAGAAGGCCTCTCCTCTTTTAATGTTGGTCTCGCTAAGGGAAGGGACTTCCCGTCCACGAGAAGGCGGCTACAGTACTAGCTGGCTCTTGGAAGGTCCTCGTCTCTGTCCGTTGTTGCTCGAAGAGCGTAAATTGGGACGTATTCAGGTAACGGAGGAGGTGGTAACGTGTGGCGATGACAGCGGGATGTACGGCTGCACGGGATCGCAGGCCGTTCGGGCTCGTACCTACCGCATCGATCCACACCAAAGTGCAGAGCACAGTAACAATTCAAACACAACACGCCTGCCTCGACCACACTACAATATTTGTCATGGTGGCTGTCGTCAACTAGACCAGAAGCACGTGTACTTCAATGATCTTTTTGGATGGGACCGATCAGCATGGTGTGGGTCAGAAGCAGGCTGAAATGCCGGTGTTGGGTGAAGTCAGCGTGTGTCGCGTTTGGACCGCCTTGCACATAAAAGGCCGATAGGTCTCATGTGCCGGCCATGGATGTTGATACGCCGTAGGATGAATGGAGGAGGGGGTTGGCCTGCAAAGGCCTGGGCGAATACAAGCGTGATCTGCAGTCGCACGCGACGACCAGGCACTAGGCGAGGTGGAAACGTGTGTGGCGATGACTCGCGGGAAGCTCAAGACGGGTACAAGCGTCAACTGTGCGATGTGCTCGATTTCGTCGCCGACGAAGCAGTAGCGGACGGTACGTTGTTGCCTGCTGACTTCGAATGAGGAAGGTTTGACCGGAGCACAACAGAAGGCGGTTGGGTAGGAAACATGTGGGTTTCCAATAAAACGAGCGACAAGGGCAAGCAGACAGTAAAGCTCGAAGCTCGACGACGGACAAGTTGTCGCTGCTACGGATGAACAAACGTAGCTGTTCGATCGAAGGACCCATGCGTTTTGTAGAGAACGTTGAAATGCTACGATCTACTGGTATACAAAGCGAAGGTGCAAAAGAGCTAAGACGAGGAGACATTGTTGTCGTCTAGCACGAATGCAACGGACAGGGTACACCGGACAGCTGAAACAGAAAGGCCATGACAATTCAAGTTGAAACGAAAGATGATGAGGCAGATGGTGGTAAAGGAGGGAGAGGCGAGACGGCAGCCAGTGAAACATACAATGGCAGCAAGTGAGGCAGCAAGTGAGTTGAATATACATCTTTGGCCATTTTGTGCCTAATGTTAACATACCAAACAGCTACCAAGCTCCCATCGTGCCTCGATTGAATCGTCTTGTTTTGCAGGTACAAGTACTCGCAAATTGACATACACATACAAGTTGTACATACAGGGGAAGAAGGTCAGTCGTAAAGTTTGCAGACAAAATCAGATGGTCCATCTCGCGCGACATACGTCTGTCCGCTATGTTCATTCAGGTCGCTAGAAACATAGCCAAGTGACCGGGGCAGCGAGCGAACATTGCAATCCATGCCATTAGTATAGACGATCTGTGCGAACAATATTCTGACGCAGCACAGTGCTCATTTACTAATTACGTAACGTTTGCCGCCCAAGCAAATCGTCGTGCAGTGGTTGTTGAGCCGATGAGGGTAACGCACTCTTCAATTTTATCGGTTTTGAAGAGGAACAAATTTAAGATACACCTGGCCAGCCACGGCTCTCAGCGCACGACGGACGCCGAGTCTCGTCCGTGTCTTCCCCCCGACGCGGGGGGGGGGTCTGCCGGTGGCTGCCGCCGAGCCCCTACTCACGGGGATGGAGACGGACATGGGGCCGGGACCGCGGCCTACGTCCGCCCCGTCCTCACCCGCCACGAGCTTTGAACTCCCTGGCGTAGGCGATTCAACCTCTCCCAGGTTGCTATCTCCCTCCCCGAACACGCCCGGAGCTATCGACGGTGTGAGGACCTGTTCCGGCGGCTCTGATACACCGGAGGTATCTGCGGCAGCGGCGGCGACGACCGACACAGCATCCACCTCCGTCGCTCCATTCGCTATGTTTCGTGCATTGATCGCGGAGATGAAGGGTTCCACAGGGACTTGTCACATGGACGTATGGAAGACGACACTTTGTGAGCTCTTTGCAGTGGAATATTCTAAATTGCCGATACGGGTGGAGGCGCTTCCGCCCCACAAAAAGCGCTTTCCCCAGTTAAAAGACGTGGAAGCGTCTAGCCTGTTACGTCTGTTCGAGCAGGTGTTTATTTCAAGCTCGGGCACGTTCAAGGAGTGGCAACGGATCGCTCGGTCTTTGGGTAACGGCGTTCTCACGACAAAATGGGCGTTTACCGAGCTCATTCGGAAACTATCGAGTCAGCACAAGTGGGCGAAGGCACCGATTCTTAACCACTGGGCGAGCGTGGTTCGTCATGGAACAGCTTCCACTGCATCGACAGCGGCATCCACTACCACCGAGTACGAAGATTTTATGTTTGACCCCTCCAGGTTTCCGCCGGGGGACATCGAGCATTTAACACAGCTGTGTGCGGATCGCTCGTCAGCGGGTCGGAAGGTGCAGCTGCGGGAAGGGACTGATCACGAATGGAAAATCATTGTCGGAATAGCGGAAGGGTCCGTGGCGTGTAGACGTATGCCAGACTTTCTCAGGGCTGTACTGGACAGCAAGGAGCGACTGCGGCTTTACAGTACGGTCCAGGCTCAAGTCGAAGGTCATCTTGTGCTACACCTCGCTCACACCCGTGGGATTCCTGTAGGTCGGCAAACGACACGTGCTATCACCGAGTCTATTCTGGAATCTGCTGAAATTGCTAAGGTGAACCTTCAAGAAGTGCACAAGCTGCTAGGCTTGACAAAGACCATCAATTATGACCGCTCGACCAAGTCTATCCACTTCTTCTTTTTCTCTCGAAGTGCGGCCATGGGCCTTCAGGACGTGCGCATTCCATTTCAAGGCCGTGTCTACATGCTTACTAACGAGCACCATCCGGAGCGCGGCTCCGTTTGGAACCGTCAACAAGGTCCGAGTGGAAGGGCCGGGCTTCTTCGAGCCGAGTACTCGATTATTCTTCATAATCTCACTCGTTTTAATGAAATTGGCCGCGTCGCGGCGTACCTCAAGTCGAAGATACCGACGGAATTCGACTTTGAAGATATGGATACTAATTGTCCAACGTCCCGTACGTCTACTTCGTGGTTGGTCACATTTCGGCTTTCTGGATGTCCCCTCTTTCTGCAAGGAATCGTTCGTATCCTCTGGTTTGGTACTTCAATCATTCTTCGTCATCCCGACGTGGGTCGTCGCCTACAGTGCCTTCAGTGTGGTAATCTCGGTCACCCAGCCTCTCGGTGTCAATTTACGGATGACCAACTCCGGGGAGTAGGTGGCATTGAGGTTACGGAGGGAGACCTCCAAGTCGTGGAGGACCTGGCAAAACCTTTCGGCAGTGCCGCCGAGATTCGCACAATGGCGGATCGACGTCTTCGAGTCCAGCGGTCGGCAGATGCTGCAGCCCAAGCCGCCGTCACACCCAGCGAGGTGCCAGTGAGCCCACCGTTAGTATTCGACCTTCCTAATGTAGGTCCCAGTGTGAGGTCTCAATCAATCTACACTCCCGCTCGACCAAACTCTAGTGACTCGGTCCCTGCCCCCAAGCCCCCACTTGACCAACCGTGGATAACGAAACCAGTCCGTGGATCCAACAATCCCTGGACCTCTCGTCAGCCCGTCCGTTCCCCAACACAGCTCAGCTCGGGACGGTTTTCAGTGCTTTCCTCCACGGGTAGATCGGACAACCCAAGCACGGTGTCAGCTACTGAGCCGCTGGTCACTAATCTGACGGATGCTGACGGGCCGCAAGGGGTGCAAATTCCCCGCCCACCTCTACGATTGTCAACACAGGAACAAACTCGGCGGAAACAGGCGCTATCGCGTGGAAAGGCGCAGACCCACTCGAGCCCACTGTTGCTGACTTTGAAGAGTCAGGCGCGAGACACATGTCTGAAGTTACTCAGCCGCATGCATGACGCACCGACGCACGCCATTTCGTTGGCACCGCGCCCGATAGACGTACCAACAGACTTGAAGGCTCTCATTCCACTACTGGGGTTACAAGAAGCGATTACGCCCGTA